CGCGATTTGTTGGATTGTGCGCCGTACGAACGTGATCAAAGGAAGCCCTGTTAGGTTCGTCCTTGCTGTGCTGAGCTCGTCAGATGAGCAGGACACGGGGCCAGCCCGCCTGCGCGGCCTTGTCTAGGTACCCCGCAAGGCCTCCCTGTCACAGATCGCCTTCTGTGATTCTGGCGTGCCATAGCGACTTTCATGCGGAGGAATCGCAGCCAACTCTCGTTGGGCGTGTTCGCACGGTGCTGGTGGGAACCTATCTGGTATCGATGCTCCGCAACTCTGCTCCAAGAATACCTGCTGATGCTCTCTCTCGCAGGCCGCGAGCCGCTATCGGCCCCCTACTCTGCGTGGATAGGTCGCTAGTGAAGAGAGATTCATCACAGACAGCAGTCATGAGGCGACCGAGGTGGCTTGACGTTTCTGACCCCCGTCAGTCGGTGGCCCCGTGTATGGAGATGGATCTCATGCGCAGCGCATGTCTCCGCTGCGTGCCAATAGTAACTGGCACATCAGTTGCATCGCGAAGCCCGAGCTGTCGGCCCCCAGGTGAGCTTTACAAACCCCTGAAGCATGAGAGGATGCTTAAGCACGTCACGTGCAGGTGCCCCGGGAAGCCATAGACGTTCTGTGTCTATTACTCAACGTGAACCTGCCGCTGTGTTCACACAGAACGCTCACTGGATCCGTGACCTGCTGACTTGCCGCCTTCCACCGCTCAGTTGGAACCAGGCCGCCGGTCTCTCTTCAGAGGGGCTCGCCGGGCGATTCCCGTACAAATACCCCGCATCCCATTCGCACAGGCCTTCCCTCGAGCTGCTCTCTAGCCCACATCCTTCTCTCATATCGCCCTCCTCCTACAAGCCTCAGCATGCCGTCCCAGCAGGTGTTTAAGACGCAGGACAACGCCCTGTACACGACGTCGACCGGTGCGCCCGTCGCGCAGCCCTACGCTGCTCAGCGCATCGGCAAGATTGGGCCCCTGCTCATCCAAGGTACGATCCTCCGCGCGCTCCGTCGGTGTAGAACATCAGCGATATTGACTGATCCTTCTAGACTTCCACCACATTGATCTCCTCGCTCACTTCGATCGTGAGCGTATCCCCGGTGCGTATGTGTATCACTGTTGGTGTGGACTGGTGTACTGAGATTGTGTCTCCAGAGCGTGTCGTCCACGCCAAGGGCGCTGGTGCCCATGGGTACTTCGAGGTCACCCACGACATCACCGACTTGACCTGCGCCGCGCTTTTCAAGAATGTCGGCACCAAGGCGCCAGTGACCATGCGGTTCTCCACTGTCGGTGGCGAGTCAGGATCTGCGGACACCGCTCGTGACCCTAGAGGTTTCGCGATCAAGATCAAGACGGAGGAGGGCAACCTCGACTGGGTGTTCAACAACACCCCCGTGTTCTTCATCCGTGACCCGGCCAAGTTCCCCCACTTCATCCACACCCAAAAGCGTGACCCGCAGACTCACCTCAAGGATGCCGACATGTTCTGGGTATGTTTGAATCAAATTAGAAGAATATTGCACGGCTGACGGGGCAATCTACAGGATTACTTGTCGCAAAACCCAGAGTCGATCCACCAGGTCATGATTCTGTTCTCGGACCGCGGAACTCCCAACGGGTACCACCACATGCACGGTTACTCCGGACACACCTTTAAGTTCGTGAACGCCGGCGGCCAGTTTGTCTACGTTCAGATCCACGTCCGCAAGGACGGCGGCTGCAAGACTTTCACGGATGACGAGGCCGGAAAGCTCGCTGGTGAGAACCCCGACTACGGTATCCAAACTCTCTTCGAGGATATCGAGAAGGGCAGCTACCCATCGTGGACCGTCTACGTGGTATGTAAGCTTTTTTGTGTAGCAAGGGCATTAGCTCAAGTAGAATGTGCAGCAAACCATGACGGCGGAGCAAGCAGAGAAGTTCCGCTACAACATCCTTGACTTGACGAAGGTCTGGCCGCACAAGGAGTACCCGCTCCGCCCTGTTGGCAAGATCGTCCTCAACAAGAACGTTGAGAACTACTTCGCCGAGATTGAGCAGGCTGCGTTCTCACCCTCGCACCTCGTGCCCGGTATCGAGCCCTCGGCCGACCCTGTCCTCCAGTCTCGTCTCTTCTCGTACCCCGATACCCACAGGTGAGTTGCGTTCTACACCCTGTCACGAACTATGCCTTGTGCTGACTATAATTGTTATACAGGCACCGTCTCGGCGTGAACTACAGCCAGCTGCCAGTCAACGCACCCGTCGCCCCTGTCGCGAACTTCCAGCGGGACGGTGCCATGGCGTTCAACAACCAGGGCGCGCGCCCGAACTACCAGAGCAGCATCGTCCCTCTGCAGTACAAGGCGAAGGCGTACGAGAACGTCCAGCACGAGATGTGGCTCGGCGCCGCGCAGGCCGACCTGAGCGAGATCACCGAGCGTGAGTTTCATTCTTCGATCATGCGTTTCATGCTCGTCCAGACACTAATTGTGCCCCTTTTCTCTCCATACCCAGTCGACTTCGAGCAGCCCCGTGCGCTCTGGCAGAAGGTCTTCAGCGACACTGACAGGGACCACCTCGTCCACAACGTCGCTGTTCACCTCAAGAACGCGAAGAGCGCCGAAGTCAAGGCCAGGCAATGTACGTTGACATGCATCTCGATGTTTGACCTTCCGATTGCTGACAGCGGCTTGCAGTGTCAGTCTTCGCTGCCGTCGACCAGAACCTGTCCGACCGCATTGCGGATGCGATCGGCGCACCCCGTGTGCAGGCCCTCAAGGCGAAGCCCGCTGCGGAGGCTGTCCGTTTCAAGGTCTCTGGCGTGTAAAGCGTGTCTTCCAGGGTGTGGCCGCAAGGGTTCTAGTGGACAGTTTTTTGCTGCGTTTGCGTGTATGACTGGAGCAGTCCACAACCAAATTTGTTGTATCAGTAGAATGGAATGGATTCCACAATGTTCCGTATCCACCCTGTGCAGTGACTATGTTGTGAGATATCGAAAGGAAAGGAGAGCCTCCCAATCGGAGGGGCTCGACGTCGACGATCGGATAAGTGGAAAGGGCGTAATTACGCAGTTTCCACTCACGAATGCACAGTTTGGAGGACCTGTGCGGAGATATGCAAATCAAGTTCGAAGCTCTTGCAATGCATTGGCGAGTTCATCCCTTTCGAACGGTATCATCAGACTGTGCGTGCAGCAAATAATATTGTGGATTCTACAAGCAGGCTTGTATGAGAGACTGTGAGCGCTAACGCCTTACGAGCGTGGGCGTCTATGGGCGTCAAATGAGGAGGCTGATAAACTGTACAGTATCACTCGGCAACCGCCGATCGGAAACCTTGTACTAGTGTAGTCTATCGAATCGAGCGGCACCAGCAACTTCAGCAAGTCCTCAAGCAAAATGTCGAAACGCGGTACGTAGCTCATTGCTCGGCGAACAGGGAATCCATGTCCTGACGAAATGCTGATCCTGGATTCTGTGCTTATTAGGTTCGTACACAATTTCTCAATCGTTTGGCGTCCTGGACTGGCCCTGACCTTGAATGAATCTTTTCGCTGTGCGCTGAACAGGTGCGGGTGCCTCTGGCAACAAGTTCCGGATGACCATGGGTCTGCCCACTGGTGCCGTCCTCAACTGCGCGGACAACAGCGGCGCCAAGTCCCTCTTCGTTATTGAGGCGTACGGCACCGGTTCCCACCTCAACCGTCTCCCTGATGCTGGTGTTGGCGATATGGTTGTTGCGTCCGTGAAGAAGGGAAAGCCCGAGCTGAGGAAGAAGAGTACGTTTCATTGTTCTACCTTCCAGAATTTGCGGTTTTCCGCACTCCGGGAAGGCAGTTTGTGCATGAGTTACTAACATGCTGCCGCACCCGTTCAGCCATGCCCGCCGTTGTCGTTCGCCAGCGCAAGGCTTGGCGCAGGCGAGATGGCGTCTTCCTCTACTTCGAGGTACGTACAAATGTGCTGCTGAAGCGATTGACCCTCAATTCACCTCGCCCGTAGGACAACGCTGGTGTCATTGTCAACCCTAAGGGTGAGATGAAGGGCTCTGCCATCACTGGCCCCGTCGCAAAAGAATGCGTACGTTGCCTTTCTTTCCTTGGCGCAACGAGTCTCATCGTGCTCACAACTTCCCAAGGCGGATCTCTGGCCGCGTATCGCGTCCAACGCAGGTACTGTCGTATAAGCCCGTCCTACTACTGTCGCATGCTTGTATTTTCTATGGTTATGACCGCATTACGCTCTCGGCCCTCATGAACATGACCATCATTACCTGCGGTGTACGACCAGCTTCGCGCTCTCCACACGCTGTGCAGGCTGTGACCTCCTTCGCCATATCCCACTTCGAAGGGACTATGAAGCAAAGTTCTTTCTTGTGTCACCCCGCGGATGCTCCAAAAAATTCTCGCTTGTGTAGAGTTCCTGCGGCGACTACGACAACGGCCTTGTCGGTCCTTATGTCGAGCCAAGTGGTGGATCCGTTACACACCTTGCATGCGCTCCATGGCTGCAGATCAGTTATTTGTGCACGAAGGCATGGTTATCGTCGCCACCTCCAAGTCTTCTTGCGATAATAAGCTTCTCTTCCGCGACTTGGTCTGGTTGTGGAATGTGTTCAGTACATCAGTAGGTTACTGTGCCGCCCTCAGGCTAGAGCCCACCAGCGGCGTCCGACGCCTCGAGGTCAAGGCCTCACTGAGCAGCGGCGCAACGCACCAACCTCTGCGGGCTCTACCTTGTGAGATGCCCGAGGCCTTTCGACGTCTCTTTGCTTGGAGTATGGCAATAGCGATTTGCAACACGCCCCCCGAACGAATGAAACCCTATGAAACCATGACCGGTCGACCACGAGTTCCTGTATGCCTGGAGGGCTGGTCTGGTCAAATTTATGGGACTTTTCCTCGCAGTCATCTGTCCCTTGTTGTGCGGATAGATCATGAACCTCTGTGCACGGGCATATGTGCGTCTCGCTCGGGGTGCTGATCAGGACGTCCGATGAGCCAAAGCAAAAAGCACTCCCTGGCGGGGAGTCGAACCCCGCTTTCGCGCGACCGCAATCGGTGACAGGCGCGTGTACTAACCGATATACTACCAGGGACTTGTACAAAGCTGCAAAGTAGCCATTCTGTATGGTTTGCCCAAGGGAGGATTGTAAAGAATACAGATATCCCTCAGCCCTGACACACTAATAGTACATGACATGCGATCCTGACGATACCGCTTCCCACTAACTGCCACTACTTGTGGTACTGTTGGCTTTGGGCTTGACTATGCGAACGCCCGCTAGGGTCGACTTTCGTACAGGCCCGGCACGGGGCGGAGGTGGAGATGGGGTAGAGGTCGTAGATGCCACTCGCGGGAGGGCGAGGGATTTGACAGGGGGTTGTGTCGGCGGTTTGATGGGCAAGATAGGCAGTGGCGAGGATCTGCCTTTCTCGCGCACGGTTGAAGAGGCGGGAGAGGCGCCGGCCCTTGTAGGTTGATGCCGCGGTACTGGGTTGATGGACGCTGCGACGGGTTTCGGGGGTAGCGAGGGATGGACAGGCAGGGACGACCCCGCGCTTGGCCCTGCTTTCTCTGCCGAGCTCTCGAGCTGTCGCAGTTTCGCCTCCATTCTCGCGATTTTGGCGTCGGTTCTGTCGCGAAGACACACAGCGTCTTAAAGACTGGTGATGTCAAGGACAACAACACGAGATACATACGCATCAGAGCGCCCGGTGCCCGCGCTCTTCAGGAGGCTGAGGGTTGTCGGTTTCCCTACGTCGCTGACAGGCCTCCGATTCTTGGATCCGAGGCCATGTGCACCCGACTCGTCCAGCGGCGCTTGGTGGGCATATGTTACGACGAGCTTGCGGCCGCGGAGGAGTTTCTCGTTCGCGTGCAGAAGCGCCTTCTCCGCATCCTAGTAATAGCGGTGATTCAGAGGTGAGATACGGTTTGAACACCGCCGCAGACCCCGGGTTTCACTTTATGCGGAAACCAGACGTGCATGTCGTCGTGTGTGTGGGTGCGATGTCATGCAGGAAGAAACCCGGGGTGAGCGCGCGCCGCTGGGATGGTAGAGAAGCAAACGTACGTCTCTGTTGGCGAATTCTACAAAGGCATAGCCTCTGGGTTTCCCTTTGAGCGGGCCGGATTTGTGGAAAAGATAGTCGAGCTTGGCAATCTTGCCGAATTTCGAGAAGAGTTGCAATAGTGTGTATCTTGTGGCCGCCGTAGTCAGCAGGTCGTTGTTCTCGTATTGCGGGAAAGACGCACTCGTCCACGGTGGGATGAAGGTTCCCTACGTATAGGCGATCCTTGAGAACAGTCCGGGGCTGCGCGGATGATGACGAAGATGGTAGTGGCACCGAGAGCTCAGGTGGTGCGGGGTAGGACAAGAGTTCGTTCAGCGCCGCGTTCGGCGTCGAGGCCATGTTGTTCTGTGTGGTTTGTGGCTCATCGTGCACTGATGGTGATGCTTCTGTTGAAGATGACATGATGTTCACAGTAGTGAGTGCTGGCCGACTGAGGCGGAGGATATGGACGGAAGAAGAGCGTAGATGCTTGAGCGCGCGAGTCGGAGGTGAGATCCCCGTACGGGCGGCTGTAGTCCAAGCAGGCGCTCATGTCGACCTTTCCCGCCGGGACTTGATCCCCACTCACTACGATGATGCAGTCGTTCGCTAAGTCGGCGCCCACTCCCGCGAAGTTGTGTGGAAAGTAGCTGTGTTGAATTTGTAGCCGATTGTGAGTGAGTCACGATAACGCACACGATAACGCACACTGCATGCACTGCAGTGTGCCGCTGGCAGTTGCTGTCGGTACGCCCGTTTCCCTAGAATCTGCACAGTATAATGGGCTGATGTCATTTATCTATCTTTTTGTAGGTTAGATTTTTTGGCTCGTTGCAGTGTCTACACCATATAGCGTGCGGCAAACTATTGTGAGTGGGGCACTGCTGTGGCACCCATCGTCTTGGGAGGTCTCTACCGGTTGCAGACAGGATCGACGGCCTGAGAGCCTCCACCCTCGCCGCCGCATTTTAGGGTCCTTTCTCTGCTTTCGCACCGCCGCTCGATTGCGATGGCACGCTGCAATGAAGCTCAGATCTCGCACTGTGTAGTCCCCATGCTTGCGCGGCTGAGGCCGTGTAGACGGCGCGGAGCCTATCGAGAAACGTCTGTGCGATGTGGTTTGTGAAGAGTACAGGCCGGCAGGATCATACCAGGGCGCTGCTACTTTGTCGATTGTTCCACTCCGCCTCAAGGCATCTTGGGCGCATCAAATACTCGCAGAAGCACCAAGCCTTCCTTGGGTTTCTCCAGTAGGAAGGCAATGATATGCTAGATCACTATATGTGGGTCTCCGCGTCCTGCTTCTATCTCTAGCCGTGACCCATCAGGAGCTCAGAGAAGCCGCGCCCGTTTGTCGAGAACTCCTGCAATGCCACCACATGAGCCGGATCCTATGCATACCCACCGCCTGGTGCTCACTTATTCCCGAGATTGGCATGCGGGTACAATGCGAGGATCGGTTGGCGCCCTTCCGCACTCCGCTTGCCGCCCATTACGCTTCTCCGTGCCTCTTTGTTCGAGCAGGGCAGTCGAAAGCAAGGTACTGGGCCGTAATTTTCCCTGCGTGTGGCGCTTCTATCCCAGTGGAAACCTACCGCCCCTCTGCGCTGTTTTCGTCATATCGGGTTCATCAGCTGCACTTCACCGGGCTTTCCGGGGAAGGGGCCGGATGCCATAACCCATGCACCTGCAGTCGTGCGCACATCGCTCAGCGAGAGCGCGGACATCGAACATGAGTATAGTTCCTTCGCATTCTGTATGCACGCGGAATCTGCATCGCGACGATGGCTGGCATCCATCTCTCATTGGCCAGCTCAGAACCATCTCTCTGCGCGTTGGACGGGTTCTCGTCGGACATCGCATCCGACAAGGCAGCCTCAGAACTATGTCCCAGTGGCTGGAATGCGTGACACGCTGCACATCCAAGCATAGGTTGGTGATGCGATGTCAAGCGAAGTGCGAGTCATCGAGCTGCTCATCAGGTCAACAAGCAGGGTGCGCAACACGGTCCGCCGGATTGGTGACGTGGGCGTGAACCAGCAGCAGCGAGACTAAGACTATACGATAATGGCTAAAATGTTTCACTGAATTCCAGGGATCAATGCAAACGAGATGCCGTCACCGGATATACAAGGTGTGCACAACGATCTGGACAGATGAGGAGCAGTGAAGTGAAGTACTGGTACAATATGATGTATCAATATGATGTATCATATTGTACCAGTTTAGATATAAGATGTAGAGAGACGCTCCTTGAATGACAAGCTCGAAGACACGCAAGTGGTGAGAACAGACGGCTGCTCGGACGCTGCTGCTTGTCCTGATAATGATTGTCCCTCCTTCTACAAACGACGCTCTCTCCCCTTCTGCTGACTACTCCTTCCCGCGCGCTTCCCCTTGCCTCTTTCCTTCCTTAGCGCTCGCTCTCGGCGGCCCTCTTCAGCCTCCGAGCCCTCCCTGTGTTTTGCTGTGAAATGCCTCTGAGCTGCGTCAAAACGAGAGAAGTCCAGATTGCATCCCTCGGCTTCGCAAGGATGACGACGGCCACTAGAGGGATTATGTGGGCAAGAGTCTGTTTCGTGACGCCTGGCGTCGTGCTCGCGTGAGAAACTTCTAGTGCAAGGTGGAAATGCACATAGGAAGGGCCCCGGCTTCGCCTTCTTGTTCTCCCGTTCCGACGAACTGTGAGATTTCAGTCTACGCTTCCTGGAGGACGGGCTCAAAGATACGCCTTCGACGTAGTCTCCAGACTCGTCGTTGTCCTCGCCGACGAACTCGGAGTCGTTGCCGTCCTGCGCATCATCGTCATCACTTCTGGCAGTACTCCGAGAAGGACCTGCCGTCGGCGCGAGAGGAGATGATGCAGATCCAGTGCGAGGATGACGACGTGCAGCACGGGCGGGTAGAGAGCGGATCGGTTTGGTGTAAGGAGCGACTCCTTCATCAAGCTTCTCCTCCGTACGTTGGATAGCACGCCCGGAGCGAGTGAGCCGACGAGTGAGGGAAGCACTCGGGTTGGCAGGAGCTGGGGAGGGCTGGTCCGTAGCGGTAGGTACACGACAAGCTGTAGCGATGTTCAAACGTGCACGCGCGGGGGGCGATGAAGTGAGAGCCGATGCCTGCTGCGGGGGCATGGAATCATCCGCGGGTGAGATGAGGATGGTCTCCGGATGCGGCGAAGGAGAATGGGCGGCCTCAGAGCTCGAAGACGCCGCGGGGGGAGATAGAGAACGAGCGACCTCGGAGGAAGGGCGTGCTAGTGGGAGAGAAACCGGGCACGACGGGTTGAGCTCTAGAGGAACGAACAAGTCATCAAGCTCCAACGCGTGGCCTTGAAGATCCATGATGTCGCTATCGCTGAGCATCCAGGCGTCATCTGCTTTGGGAGTGCTCGAGCGGAGCACTGGCGAAGAGATGTGCGAGGGGACCGCGGTGAGGGGGCTGGACAGAATGTCGGACGACGGGGAAGAGGATGTGAGGTCGACAAGGGTGTATGCAGGTGAGATGGAAGGGCTCGGAGTGTAGGAAGATTGCCGGCCCGCGTACAGGGCCTGTGAGAGTGTGAAGTCGGCAGGCTGTGTCGGGCACTCGCACGTTAGATAACAAGCGGTACGATCGACTGGAGAGGGACAACGTACGAGATCACACAGCATCGGAGAGTTTATGACGGGGTGCGCGACGTCGTCTGCGGGCTCGTTGGATGCGGGCGAGGACGTGAGCCATGTGCCAGTCGTCAGCAAGGCTTCCCCGGGAGCCAAAGACAAGGGTGCAAGAGCGTTGAATCCCGTGCCTAGTAGGTCGTCGCCATGAGCGTCTTGATCATCTCCAGCGAGCATCGCATTCGACAGAGTTTGAGACGCGGGGTCGTACTCGCCGAACTTCTCATCGACACTTGAGCTCGGAGAGATCACAGAGGAGGGTTTCACCACAAGGAGTCGCCCAAAGAAACCGTTGAGAGTCTCCTCTACATCACGTTCCCACGTCTGGATAGCGTGATGCATCTGCTCGAGCGCGGCCCGTGCATCATCCAGTGTGCTAGCCC